GATGATTTAAATTAATTTTACAACAGCCTTCCGAAAAAAGTTCCAGTTTAAATTATTTTCATGCTGAAAGTTCCAGTTCTCGTTTTAAGGACCCCGTTACGCAGGCATCTGGAATCTGGACCGTATCGGTATCGTGAATAGTGACATTACGTACACTACGTACTAGAGCTACGAAGTAAAATATACTACAAAATATAAAATTCCCGTTCTGGCAAGGTGAAGAGATGAAGGCAATTCCCCGGCTGTCATTTTTTTCATTTTCCCGTATTTATTCCCCCCCCCACCAGACAAAAAACCTGTCGCAAAATATTCTATTTCTATTAGTGGTCCATACTATTGGGGATATAATATCATTGGTTACTACTTGAAAACTTCCATTAGTACGTATTACTGGACAACTTCTATTACTACTACTTACTAGTGGGGATGTTATAGTAGTGAGCACTGCAAACTACTGGTGGGTAACACCACCAAGGCTTCTGCGAGAGGCAAGAAGCAGCACCAACAAAACTGCTGTCCATAGGATATCAGATCATGGGTATGATTCATATCTGTGACTCATGCATATGAAAAATACCTATGATTCATACACACTTTACATTCATGACTCACTTGATTCATGATTGACATGACTTGTTTGATTCACTTGTGTGACTGACTTGACTCATTTGACACATCACTCGATCTTCATTCTGATTGTCTTTAGTCTCATAGTTTGCCGATCCTTGATGAGAGCATCAACTCACTTTTCTACTAGCACACGATTTGCATCATTACTATTTGATAGTCACTCCCACAAAAACAGTCTTACCCAGCAGTCTGCAGTGCTCACTATTACTATAACAGGGACCAGTGAGAAATTAAACAATGGAAATATTTTTTTGTCTGTTAGATGCCTTTTTAATCTGGATAACCGTAGAAATGAACTAAAAATTTCTGTTAGTGTTTCTACAGGAATTGCCTTTAACTTGCCAGCACAGAAATTGTAGCACTTGGTAGCTCTACTACTACTACTATGTACTCAAACTGTATGTTCATGCTAACATAACTTTAATACCATAGGAGGTTTCTCTGTTGTAGCAGATATGTGTGGTACTTGGTACTGTACTTCACTACTATTGTTTGTTCTGTGTTTTTTTTTACAGGGAATTTTCCAGCAGGGTAGTAGTAACAACAACAGACAAGAAGTCTCTCAGTTTTTGTGGAGTGATTGCGCTCTAAATTACTGGGCTTCTTTATCAAAAAAGCACATGTGCAACAAGTACATAAGGCTCAGTACTGAGGCCTGTCATGTAGCAGGCTCAGTACTGAGGAACATTTGTGAATCATTCATGAATCCCATGGACCTAGTAGGGTACAAGCAAACACCACTACATGTTTAGAATCAATCACAAGTCCCCAGGACCGGACCTACACATATAGGAGGTCCCGGTCTAGGAAAGTGGTCCCCATTGTTCATTTAATGGTGATGCCATCCTTGATTTTTTCAGTAAATAATCTACAAAGCTCTATTCAGCAGTGTTGCTCACCAACAGTTTCAGCATGATTTACCTTCTGAGAAAGAAGCAGGATTGGTTCTTCTGGGCCTCCAGAATGGATGCAAACTAGTACCTCAGTAGATTTTGTACTGTGTTCTAATGTGCTAATGATATCATCATTAAATTAACAATGGAAACCACTTTCTTACTGTGGCAATCACTTGTTATGATATCTGTAGTATTTATTTGACAATAATTTGACAAACAATTCAAAAGGAAGGCAGTGGGTTTTGGAGAGGAGGGCCCAGGTCAAGGGAGGACAGCAAGACAGCAGCAGGGAGATATGAAGAGCCTAGTACATGACACTACTACTACTACTACTACATGTAAAACAACAATTGAAAGTACGTTAATTGAGGCATTGGGAACATTAATTTAACATTCTGAATGTTAGAAATAAAGTTCCAAGAAATGTTATTTTTCAGTAGTGTAAGAAATGTTAGTATGTCACTACAGGCTTCTATTTTAACAGATCTATTAGTATACTAAATGTATACAGTTCTTACTATAAAGATTGCATAGACGAGTAAAAGTGTCTGACGTACTTGCAATAGTAGTAGCTACTAGTATTCCTCAGCAAACAGGGCCCATTTTGGCATATAGTAGTAAATGTGATTTTACTGTCAGTTGGGATATAGCAGCAGTCATTTAAGCATGATAGTTGCAGCTAAAGAAAGCTAGGAGTGAGAGCTTCATCACAATATTCTTATCATACCATCAGAGAATGATGTTCCTGCTGTACCGGTCATTCTTGTTCAACAAAAGAGCTGCATTGTCAATATTTTAATAATTGACGTGTTATTTCAGCATGCCCAGCAAGAGTAATTTTTAAAATCACGGGCATGCTCACAGTCATTTGTAGAATCCAAAGGCCAAAAACTCCAATACTGCACCATTATTTTGGAAAAAATCAAGTACTAGTAAACTGTATGGTACCAATTATTCAGAATTTGGAGAGGAGGCAGGCGCACGCGCATCTCGTACTCGAATCCATGACTCAAAGATCTCTTTCCGACAATACTTCTTTACGTTACAGTACGGTACGTACCGTACGTATTGTCTACAGTATTCGCTTTTCGTTCTCGTACAGGTACCGTAGAACTTCGTGCTCGTTCCGGTAGTTCTCAAGTCACAGGAAAACTACGTTCTTCCCATACTGTACGTACGGTACCTGAGGAGATAGGAGTAGAGTACCCGTACATCCGTCTCCCGTGACAGTACAGTATGTTGGAATTGAATTGATGCCTGTTGTTTCATCGCGTAATTTTGACTGAATACTAATTGAATTGAACAAGTATGGTACGTACCTTACGTTACCGTACGTATCGGGCTCGAACTGCAAATTAACTTTTGAGGAAGTGGTACCTACGACTACCGTACCGTTTTGGTTCCCTGCTCGATCTTGCAAGCAACGAGGCAAACTGGGACGTATTCATTCTCTTACCCCTTGCGTACTCTTACTCCTACCCGTACCGGTTGAACAATCGATTTTGAATACATACAAGGAACAAAGATTTGAGCAAAACAGTGGAAGGTCTACTTTGTAGCGTTGAACGAGGCGAAATTCCACACGCTTAGAGACCAACTCTTGTCTTCGTCGAGAGATGTCAGCAAATTTTGATAACAATTCTTTACATCGAACTTGGCAGCGCCAGTGTTGTTAAATTCTGTTTTTGGTTTCATTGATTGAAACATGTCACAAGACGATGCTTCTCGACGTGACGAGATCAATGCCTTTGCTGCAATGGCAAACTGTGACTTCGATCCGAATCCCACGGACGACGCAAACGACACAACCGGCAACAGCGGGACCTTTGATTTCAGTGCTGCGGTGAGAGCAGGCAACGCCAGTAATGACATCCAAAAGAGTGCAGATCCTATCGACCCCGACAACATGAAGAAAAGCGAGGATTCATTTTTAAGCCAACTCAGGGAGGCAGATGCTTCCTTGGAGCAGGGAAGAGAGGTCCGATCTAGCTCGTTTCATGCACTGGACGAAACTGATTCAAACACAAATCACGGAGGCCAAATCGATAAGCAAGGTGATTTCGATTCTCTGTTGCGTAGATCTTTCGCCCAAGCCGGTCAAAAGGTAGATAATTCAGGAACATTTTCGCGCTTGACTCCGAGTGCCGGGATTGGCGACAGATCGCAGTCCTCGGGTTCGGCTCGGCATCGCAATCAAAATCTAGAAGCGGCAGCTCTGGCACTAGCAGATGACGAGGGCGACGCACAAGGCGGCGGAAACGGCACCAATTCGTCGAACGTTGATTCACAAGCCGGAACATTCTCATCCGACACATTCCGGCAATCCCTACCTTCCAATGGTAAAAACAGTTACAATGCCAGCCGTTCGAATATCAATAACAGCAATCTTCTCCAATTTCCTTGTGGAGCGGCCATGAACAATCCAAACATGATGAACAACAGCAACAATCCACTGTTTAGTGGTGTTGGACTGACTGCAACTATGAATAGCCAGGCGGCCAATGGCAGCGGTACTGCTGCTGCAGCCACCAATGCCCAAAACCGCGCTAATCTCCAATTTGGTCAATTTCCGTCTAACAAAAGTCCGATGCACGTCCAACAGGTACACTTGCCGCGGCCCTTGTTTTTCGGACCAAACTTGCCACCCCGAGTTCTCCGAGAAGCCAAGAAAATCATGGACGAAGCATTGGACAAGCAACGTCGCCAATTTGAAGAGAAGCAGGATAATAACGAAGGAATTCCGTATACTCCAAGACTCGGACAACTACCTCCTGGAGTTCGAAATCTAGTCAGCGCTATTCGATGCTATGGATTCGGTTTGGATCTTTTTCCAAGTCAAGGTGAGGAAGAAACGGATGGCAAGAAGGACTCGTTTAGCGGGAACTCGTCGTTTTCCACATCTGTCTTTTGCCCACGATGGAGCGAGGATCGGAAACGAGCGCCCGGAACTGTTCCAATTCCTTGTACCGATGACGATACCTCCTCATTCTTTGAAAACGAAAGCTACAATGATACTGATTTTGGTAATCAAAGTCAGCCCGACACGAAAAATGCATTTAGAGGGCGTGACCAAGGCGAACCTAAGCTGAGCACTAGCAGATTCGGTACGGTAAAGACTGAAGACTCCCTTACAACGACAAACTCCACCTTGCAATCTTCAGTTGGTTCTCGACAGCGACAGGATATAGACGGCAGTGGTGGCGAAAACAATAGTTTGACTGTGTCTATAGATACCAGTAGCATGTCGGAACGAGATGCGTTTTCCGCTTTTGCACGACACGGTAGTGATTACAGCGGTTTTGCTACCACCGACAACGAGAACAGCAAAGACGCTGGCACCGATTCCGAGGATTCTGAAGATTCGACGAAAATCAAAGAAGGTTCTATAGACGTGATAGAGAGTCCTACCCAACCAGTTAGGATAATACGAAACCCAAGTCTTGGCCAGCGACAACAAAGCTTTGTTGACCCGGAATCAAAAATGGTACGAAGTAGTGAAGGAACAGTCGATGATTCTGCTACTCAAGAATTATCGGAGCAGGCGCTATTTACTCAGTGGGTTCATGGGGGGGAATCTCCTGCCACTCTGAATCGCAGCAATTCTAATAGCGGAGCAGGGACCTTCAATTTTAATGACTCATTTCATGATACAGGCGGAGGGAATGGTAGAAAGAACTATTTCGATAAGAACGCCTCTGGAACATTTATGAACACGATCGTATCAACCGGTAACGATGATAGCGATGATGACTCAGTCGTAGGAAGCGAAATGAAGAAAAAAGTTGGAGTGAACGAACATCTCAATGCTGCCCTGGCATCACTCCAAGACGAACAGAGCCCTGCGGAACCATGTGAATCGGATGCTATTGGAGAACCTGCTGCTGGTGAATTGGCACAAGTTCCACTCACAGAAGATGGCGGTCGTCCTCTCTCGAACCAGGAACTAATGAATGCACACGCCCCGCTATTTGCTATTGACGATCCTCCATTGCCTTCCGAATCAGATCTGGGGAATCACGAAACTCGAGAAGAACAGCAACGAAGCAAGGAACAGAGGCGGATCCAATCCTTCATCGAGAAGTTTTGTCCGCATAATGTTTTTGGACCGCTGGCCTGCCCCAATCCTGCCACAGGCCCTGATGATAATCATAGCTGGAACTCAATGTCCACACCTCTACAACGAAATCATGGTTTATCGCCCAGCTCGGCCACTCACGACAATCTTGGATCTTCGACAAGCCCAATTGGGTATTCAGTATCTTCTGAGGATCTTGCGTCATTATATTCCTCAAATGGGCACGGGTTAACAGCAAAACGGGTATCCCAGCTTGCATCTGCTCCGAAGGTGCATGATCCAAGGACTCGATATGGCTGGTGGAACAAAGTAATCAACAAAGATAACAAACCTACTAATCACTCCAGCGCAAAAGGAAAGTGTACTGTGGACGATTTTCATGAAAGTACTGGCGGTAATGAAGCATTGAAAGATATACCGATACAGTTACCTCCAGTTGAACACTCAGCAAACGCATGCCTTGTTCAGACTCCGTTGTATCCTTCACCAGAAACTCTTCACAAACAAAACCGACCTCTCTCCGAACTTCACCCTGCAACGTCTTTAGCTCAGGCACTTCCTTTTCTTTCCGATCGACCACCAAGCTATCGTTATCTTCAAGTAGACACCCAGTCAGTAGCTTTTCCAGCATTGGGTGGCGAAGTGGAACCTCTCTTTTGCTCCATGTGTATCTATCATGTGGAGACAGCTCCTCGTTCGGGAGATCGGATCATGTCACCTAGTCCGGACGTACAGCGCTGTGGAAAAATCACCGAAACGCTCAACTTCGATTTTGTCAACAATCCGCAAGTTGAGAAGAGGTGCAACTCTTCTCTTTATCCGTACACGAACAGCACTGATAACAACATGAATACACAATCCAACTTGACTCGGTGCGGTGTTTTCCCTCTCGCGTCAAACCTTAGCGTGTACAATCTCTATGCAATTATTACGGTGAGCAAGGTCATTTCAGAGGGCAGTGATTTCGAACCGTATCTTCGTTCAAAATCAAAGATAAAAGATGAAGATATTGATATCGAATCACTTCGTTCAAAAGCACAGAAAGCATGCGACGACCATGGTAAATTTGTGATGCCGTTTGCCTTCGGCGTAGCACCTTTACTGCAAGTGTTTGGTGCAGATATTCCTCATGTCCCGAGTAGCCGAGCCGTTCAGATCCCGCTATTTCGATTCGCTGCAGGAAAAGGTGAAAAGCAGATCATCGATCATATCATGGTCATGCTCTATCCAAGAGCCGACCACATAACTTCTGGTATTAAACCTGCTCCTGTGACGAATGGCGGAACCGCTATGCTTGTCATGAGAAACTTCGGTTACCTTGGTCTTCATGAAGTGGTGAATGGGAAAAGCTCTCTGGCAAAACAGAGATTGGTTGACTTTACCGGCGAGATGCAATTGCGTCGCAATCATGACGACGAGAATGATGGCGGAAAGTTAAGGGCGGGAAAGGCATTGCATGACTCACTTCCAGCGTGGCAGCTGCAGTATAAGGCAGAACCAACCATCGATGGAGGTCGTTCTGAACAACTTCACTGTTCCAATACTGGGAAACCTAATTCTTCCCTTTATGCGCAAGAGCTTGCTCCGGTTTCATTACTAACTTCACCGCTTGGAAGGCCCACCGGAGCTCCTCTCACAGTTCCGAAGTCTCGATCAGGAGGTCACTCCAGCGGTGAAGATATTGAACCATATTTTCATACAACCTTTTGTAACGAGCTCTTATGCCATCCAAGGACTCTCAAAGATTGTCAAAAAGGAAATATCGTTGTAAAAGTAGAAATGAGAGAAATCGAATGGAATCCAGAATATTCTGTGCATCTAGCACATGTACCCGCATGTGGTCCTGTTGTCCATAATTCAAGGCGCGGTCCTTTTCTAGTCCAAGATGCATACACTTCATGCAGTGCGCGATGCTTCGACCCTGAGTTTTTGGATGAGTTCAAACTTAAGCTCCCATTGTTACTCGGCAATAGTGAATCGAAGTCTCTGGCTATATTGTTCACCGCATATAGGTTGTCATTTAGCTCAAGGAAAAAATGGGGACGACGGCTTCTGCGCAGGAAATGGTTATCAAACAAAGTTGACGAAATTACGGGCGATGTAGTAGGGGAATCAAATGTTGTAGCAGGCAAAGAATGTCAGTTAATACAACTTGCCTGCGGCTTTCTCCGACTAGAGAAAAGACAATCGTTAATTGAAAATGGTATTCACGATGTCAAAATATCGCACATTGCGAAATATCCTCTAGAAGAATTCTGCAATGAACAAGGTATTAGCTCCAACACGCTTGTTCTATCTGATTTCACGGTTGGAAAAGGAGACATAGCTGGAGGAGATGAGAGTGCTTTTGAAGATGTCGAAAGTCAGGGTTCTGATCGTTATTTGGTTGACACTATGTCAGCAACAAGCGCGTCGGATAGAGAAACAATATTAACGGAACAATTTGACGACAATAGAACGAGGCAGCAGAAAAGGCAAGCAGGAATGGTGCTCGAAGTACGCATTTCGGTTCAATCTTCTGTACATCCACAGAATGCCACATTGAATGAATTTTTGAGTCAAGAGCCTGACGTGTCAATTCCTCTCCAAGCTGGGGGGAAAGATATCAAATCATTCCTTCGCTCGGGGAAAGATGCAATCATTCGTCAATTCAGTCTACCCTGTCCATTGAAACTTAGTCCACCCTCTGAGGATATAGAATACGAAACAAATAAGCTGCTGGTGTCGACTGTTGATCTCGCAAAGCCAGATATGTGTTCAGTCGCGGATATTTCGTTACATCTGATCCGACTATGCAAACAATTATGGAAGGTTATCGTGGTGGGCACTGGAAATCACGACATTAAATGGGCAGACCCGTCAGCCACCTTGCCATTGCGTGTGAATGCGTTTGCCACTTTACTGCAGCTTTTGGGTTCGTCCACCCTATTTCTGTCGAAAAGAGGAGTGACTCAACTTGACGGAAATAGCAAATGGGACTTTATGTCTCTAAGTCGAGTAGTAGGGCTGTTATTCGACGAGAAGGAAATGTTCGGTTCTATTCACGACGAGGAGTTATCGAAGGAATTTCAATCTCTTTTGGGTGGCCCTAAAGAAGAGGAGCTGCAAAGGAACCCGAAGAGAAGACCCAAGAGACGTCACTTTCGGTCTAATTTCGAATTTGGCAATGGTTCGGACGGACTGAGTGCTTTCATAAATGAAAACATACCAACTGATGAAAACACAAATTTGACGACGCAGCGCACCCAGATCTCTTTGTTGAAAAAGCCGTCCAATCTGGATGAAACTCTTGACGTGCCGCAATCATCAGCATTGGAAATTTACGATAGACCTATCGGATCTGACACTCCGAAAATAGACACAGTGAGCGATTTCAGGAACGCGATGCAAACTGGAAACCGCGAAAATGAGTACGAGGACGACATTCACGAAGGTCAGTTTAGTGGAAATGCAGCTGCGGCTGCTTGGATTATAGCGTTTGGTGGTTCGTCGGGTGGGAGCAACCGTAGGTGGATGACCGCACCTGGACTCTCCACAATTCAAGAGGACACCGATGACGTTGACGAACACAAGACGAGTGGCAAAAAAGAAACAAAAACGAAGCAAGGGCCACTGGACGCTCTGGACTCTGAAATAATTCTTACMAAGGAAAAAGAAGCAAATAAAACCCCTAAGCGACCTGTGAAACAGTTCAGGGTCCCCAAAACATCAACAAACTCATCTTCAAAGAACGACGACGAATTATTTGATACTAACTACAAGGGGCTAGTCGTCCCCTTGGTAGGTATGGACCAGAATTTAGCGCTGAGTACTGGTTCAAACCAACTGTACGTATCAATCCTATTAATTGGTGAGACCCTAGATTGATGACGAGGTTTTTATTTTCTAACGTTTTCCACCTACTTCTCCTTCTACAGACCTATTGAATCTCAGGGACGAACTAAAGAGGAAAGAACAAGAAAGCAAAGCCAGACTTTGCCTGCAACAGATGCCGATATGCTCAAAGCAGCGACACCCTTTTTGGATGCAATAGAAAAATCGCTTGGACTTGGGTACGTATTGCCTTTTCTACCTCCATTGCTGTTGTGACAACTTCCACACAATCATGTAACTAACTTCGCATTGTGCAGCTCTTCCTTCTCTAGCAATTATCCTTCAGAAGAAGAAGTTCGTGTTTATGGCAGACACCATCGGAAGACTGTGAGTCACAGTAGCATTGATTGGTCGATACCAAATGATGACTTGGGCAACTTGTCAACTGAGCCAAAGCATGATAAGAAACATAGCATTCAGGCAGGAAAAATTGAAGAAATCGACGAATCAATGAGTACCATATCCCAAGAAATTAAGCTCAGCTTGAAACTCCCTAGTTTTGCGGATCGCTTAGCCTCACTTGGTGATTCCAGCAACGGGAGATGGTTTCCCTTTACGTACGAAATCATTATAATGCAATGGGCGGCGGTGCTTATCGAGCAACAAAAATCTGCAGTCGACTCGAATCAAGATGATGAGAGCAACGCAGAAATAAGCGAATGCAACGAAGCGATCCAAGACGCTGCTTCCAGGACAACTGGTGTTATCATTGCATGCGCTCCAGTACTTTTTGAAGTCATTAAACAAAGTTTGGGGTCCAGGGTGACAAGTTTAATCCGTCGTGTGAAAAAGAAAGGCTACATCGGCACCCCCCCCCTCGTTATACTCGACGATGGAATGCTTGCCAATCTAGAGCAGCTGATTGCTATCATTACAGATGCATGTCTAGACAGTCGCAATTTCGATTCTTATGAAACACGCCAAAGTTGCGTTGACGTCAACGATTCGATTGTTTTCTTCTTGCGCGACATGTATGCATTCTTGGATCCGAGATGTGTGTACCGATTAACTATGCTATATTGGTCTCGATTAGTTGCGAAGGACACAAGGCAAATTGATAGAGATTCGAAGATTGGTCTAAGGTGCTCCCATGAGATAATAAAGCTGCAGATGAATGCGGTATCGGCATTTGTTAGGTTTCCAGATCTGATAAAGGTCAATTCTCCACAAATGAATAGCTGGGCAAGTTTGTGGACTCTCTCCCCCGATATATCGACTGTAAATTTCTTCGACGGCGTACTTCATCGGTACGAAAAACTTGGACTCCCATCACTAATCGGTGATACAAATAATCGAGACAGATTCGAACTACCTAGAATGAGACCTCATTGGTTGGTTGAAATAATTGTTGACATCTGTTTCTCAGGCATAGAACACTCCGAGCGGATTATTCAACAAAGATCTGCATCTCTACTACTTGAATTATTTTGGTCTCATGCTCAAAAAAGTCTGAGTGAAGGATATTCTCCTATTGTCGCAAGTATGTATGTGACATTCATTGAAAAAGCCCTGTCAAAAACTTCATATCTGTCTCACGGTTTTACTGCGAAGGGCCCAAAGAGTCAAGTGCGCCATGATATTATCCTTTGTTTGATATTTGTTCTACAAAGCGCTCCACCGGGACTGCTTCGAGCACTATGGCGTAAACTTTTCACACGATCTTCAGGAAAAGGATCGTTTAGAAAATTTGGTGGTATCTCTTCGTCAGTTTCAATGAACTCGCTTGATGAACTGAAAGAATCTGAGACCCCACCAAGTACTACGGAAATAGATGACATCGAGGGGCCCAATATTTATGACATGTTTAGTCTTCTAAATACGAGTCTAGCAACTGTTGAATACGAAGGTTGTGACGAGCATGCTGAAGTAGATAGATATGAGGGTGACGGGCCTCTACTATTTTGGCCAAAAGAATTCTTGATGACGAGAGAGCGTGATACAATAGATATTGCAAGACAAAGGCGTTTGCTTTCCATCGTAACAACCACATCTGAGGAGAAAGACGAGTCTAACGATGACGAATACGCGACGACAAGTTCGAGAAAATGGCTTGCTCACGATGCTTCGATGGTTCTTATTCGGACTGTACAACAAATCGTTCGAGAGCTAAGGTTTGTTCTAGAACCAATGCAAGGGTCTCAGTCATTATTCAATCCAGCGCGAAGGAAGGCCAAAGCCAACAAGTCGCATCGCTCTCCACCCGCAACAAATTTCGATTCCGAACCTTCCGAAACAGGTTGCACTAAATTCTCGTATACGGACACAGTCATTTTTGTCCGAGGTGCAACATCTGTATACTTGAACTCACTAGTATTGAGAGAAAGTGATATTGCTATCGTTAAAACATTGAATGCCTCTGTCGAAATAATAAAGATATTCGGGATTAAAATATTCAACGAGGCTGTTGGCGAGACTCTGCAACATTGGCTCCGCATGATCACTTTCCACTGTGGATCGCGAAGAGCTGAAGTGCGTGTTCCAGCTTCAGATTTTGCTGAATTGATTTTGCGAAGTACTTGGGATTGTTTTGGCAGTTTCTTTAGAATCCGAATACCTCTTCTGGCAGTGCAAACTGAAGTAATGGAAAGAATAGTTGCAACAGCAGTAGCAAGGTATTATCGAGACCAACGGAAAACGGGCATCAAGATTGATTTATTCTCAAACTCGTGTGCTGAAGCTAGCCTTACACCATTGTGGCGAACTACTGATCGTTTACACCACCAATCTGCTAGTCAGAATGTCGCCTTCAGGTATGTTCCTTCCTTTTCGGGTAATTTTATAGACTTCTATTGACGTCGATCCCTAACACAATCTCTCAATTTTTTCTTTTTTTAGGTCCAGTTTAGTTCGTCTCGCCGAGAAAATAAAGAAATTACACAGGGCCTACATCGCAGCACATGCACTTTCTTTTGAAAATAATTCTGGATCACGAGAGCATCAAAACAGCGACTCGACTCATGATCCCGGAATATCTTCCGACGTCGAAACTCTGAAGCGAGCAAATCGAATCAGTGTCATTCGTGTCGTGAATGCTTCGGCCAGTTATTCAAAACAATTTCTTGGATTGCAGATGGCAGCCAGTGAGAATACCTCACTTGCACACCACGAAGCACTTGAAGATGCATTCTTAGACGCTGCAGATGTCTTTTCGCCGACTGAGTTGCCAGACCATCGAATTGCTTGGCTGCGAAAGCTTGCTCAATTTCATGCAACTCGGTCAAAAAATGCCGAGGAGGCAACCTGTCATTACATGATCTATTACACGTTGAATAGATCTTGTAGGCTGAGTTCAACCTTGTGGTCAAGTTCGCCCTTCCTTCCGTGGATCGACAACTTGTCTGACGGAATTCATCTGGAAGGTCCTGCTGGAGAATCTGACGGATCTAATTGTGATCTCCCTTCTCTTGATTATGGCCGTCAAATCGATAAGACGAATTCATTCCGGCGAATATTTTACCGGAACGAGAATTCGGTTAGATTGAATCCAGGAGAACTTGAAGGTGGCGCTAGGAAGGCTGCATTTGCTGGGGTCTCGCTTACGTCGGAGTATACAACGGCAACCCCATGGATAACCCATAGAGAAATGGAAGCAAACATGCTCGAGGAGGCCGAAGCTGCGGGATACCTTTTCCAAAAATCTGGAATCATAGCAAGTAGTCGATATATGTGGGGTTTGGCAGCTCAGTATTATGCAGAGAAATTTATGTATGGGAAACTTACCCATGTTTACGAACGCCTCGCCAGAACTCTTGTTGCACAAGTACCGAACATCGATAATACACTTGAGCAAGTAGTTGATGTCGGAATTCCACTGGGTAGGTTTTACCGAGTTTGGTTTCATGGAGGTGCTCCTGACGAGTTGATAGGGGCCGAATTTGTTTATCGCACTCGCACAAAGATATCCCTGTCGAAATTCGGAACAGAATTGCGCGATGTCCTTAGATCCATAATTCCCGAGAACACTCCGATTCATTTGGTTCTCGACGGCCGACCAGAGGAAAGTGCACAAACCAACCCTTCTGGGTTCATCAGAATGGGAGGTGCGCCATTGGAACCAGTGAAGGTGAAGGTCACGCCGCTCCGTCCAGTGGTTCGCAATGAAAGTAGGATTCGTGGCCTACCGGAATGGTTCAAATTGTACATCGATAGCGCATTTTCTGGTCATAATACAAATGAGAATAGAAAGGATGCTTCAAAGGGATTTCGTGATAAATATCTTAATCACTCTCGATCCAAGCCAACAATGTATTATTCGACCTCATTCAAGGGAAAAGATGTCGGATATTCTGGTAACAACCATCGTCACTATCAGTTTGAATCCTCGACAGAGGGCGAGCTAGTTGGGGCTGATAAATTTTGGTTCATACAATCGAAAGACCGATCACGCGGCTCGCGAGATTGGCTGAAGGGGGCTTCTGACGACTTTGCTGAGAAGACTATTCGGGTTACACAACTTCAAGTTAGACAAGCGTTCCCCGCGTGTATATCACGCCAAAGAGTTATTGATCGCGATGTATACAGTCAAAGTCCACTAGAAGCTGCAGTAGACAATTCATGTCTCTGGTGCGCTGTTCTTTTTAGAACTTCGATCGCAAGCAACGGTTCTGCTGTACTTGGTAAGTGAGGTGTATTGCGTTTGAAATGATGTTTTGTCGACTTCAATCTTTCTAATTCTCGTTGTATTGGTTTAGGGGAGAGTAACGATCCAGGGATTGGTATTGATGCAGCGAAGGTAGTTTCCGAATGCATTCACTCTAGCAGGGTGAAGGAAATAGGGACAGTTTTGCTACGGACAAACACCCATGTGAGAGAAGATGATGATGATGTACTGCATTACTACGATCGACTTAGCGTAGATGAGGTGCATAAAATCCAACTAAGACTCGCCAGAGCGCTGGTTGTATTTATGGAACTTCTTCATTTGTTAATAGCAAGAAACAGAGATCTCCTCTTGGAACTTATCCAAAAGAGAATTCCACCAAGAGACAGGAGACCAAATGGACCTCATGAATATGTATCGGCCGTTCCTCCTTCAACACATGCCCGAGATATGTCCATCGGATCTCAGCACTCGATTGGTAGAAATTCAATCAGGGGTCCGAATGAATGCCCATCGGGCGTTCCTCCTTCCTCAGTATCTCATCAATCAATGAAAAGAGTTCCGAGCAGAGGTGAAATATCGCTACCCAACACTCGCACACCGTCACGAGATAGGTCAAGACACAGTAACGTGCACCAGAGACGTTTAAGTGCTCCGTTCGAAAACACGTCATCGTCCGCGGATTCGGTCCCCAAACCAAACCACGCGAATGAGGATTATGATCAGGGAACAAACCTCACTATTTCAAGTCAAAGGGACCGAACAGACTCTGCTATCGGGATTCAACGAGAACTGCAATTGGCATTTATTAATACTGCGAAGGTGTTACTACCTAAAATTCAGGGTGTTATGGGAAGCGATACACCCCGTTGGTTGAAACAGTGCTGCCAAGATAATTATTTTTCTGCGTACACTTACCGCCAAGTGAAGATCCGTAAGTTCCGCCACCCGGTCCCCGTCATTTACGACTGCCGACATTGCTCGTTTGCTAAATGTATTTCTTTTTTTTCCGTTCATTTTAGCCATTGGTGAAGAGCTTACTTTCGACGATGTAGAGACAGAAAAAAATAGAGGATCCAACCCTATGTCGAAATATCCCACCGGGGACAAGCCAGGGTCAATATCAGGAGGATTTCACCGCTCCGATAAATCTTGTTCTTCTCAGGCACCAGACTCTCCGAACGGGAGTACAGGAAGCAATTCTGTTGTATCCAGAGTATCCGATGCAAGGTCTGTGACGTCTTCGAGATCAATGCGATCCCACAAGGAGCGTCCCATGCCTCGCCAAGGAGGAGTTGATCGGCCCCTCTCATAGTAATGAGTGAAACTGTATCTTATAATTGATTTTGTGCGACAGAAATGCGTTGGCATTGGTTAGTTGAAAGCTCCACTCCACTATTCGGCGCTCAACAAACATTGATTGACTAGAACTTCTAAGTAGCGCAGTCTCAAGATGGGTACCAATATATTGCGAAGCGCAAAATGAACCCAAGTGATAAATGCAGGTCTTCTAGTGCAATTCAACTATTAGTAACACTAATTAAGCTGCACTCTGTGAGTCGCAGGGTTCAGTGCCTAGTTTTTTTGGTGTTCATGTAAGCCAATCGAAGAGGCCTAACTTTTTCATTAGCCAATTTGTTTAGACGTATTGATACTGTAGAGCAAATGATGATATTACTATTATAGTAGTAGTTTTGCACAGAAATTATGGTCTGAATGGTTACTTGTGGTATCCTAGTAGTAAAAATCAAAAACTCTCTTTTTCCTTTCATCTGACTACAATAATTATTGTAATGATTATCGTGCAATACTTTATTCCATCAGATCGGCGCCATAGTCCATTCATTGATGTCTTTCTTGTATCCTCATGGGCATGTCATCATCGGGCCGCTGTACAAAGCCACATATGACTGGTCTCACCATATAGTCGGACGAGACGAGATCAAATTTTAGTTTCTTTAATAGACACGCCAGTATTATAACGCTTTCTTCCATAGCAAAAACTTTGCCAACGCAGTTACGCGCGCCGACGGCAAAGGCAAAAAATGCATCCTGATTTGCGGGTGCAATTATCATATTGGCCTCCTCGTCATCATTTGGTCCTCGCTCTTCCCAGGCACTGACGCACTTGCTACTAGCATCATTATCATCAGCATCATTATCATCAGCATCATCATCATCAGCAGCATCATCACCGTCAACTTTACTTGCCAAATTTGTTTTGTTTTTTCTTCGCCGCACCCACCTTTCGGGAATTATGTCTGTTGGGCGCGGGAAGTTGATTTCGGATCGATGAATGCTCCAAATGGATATGTTGACCATCTGACCCTTTGGAAGTAACTTTCCATTTGATGGTAGCTTCAGCGGTTTTTCTAGATTGCGCCTCGTGGTATATGCAGGTGGGAATAATCTCAAGGACTCCATAATTACAGCCTTCGTGTAGGGAAGATCTTTCGCACTAATACCACAATTTCCACTCTCCTCGGAGTTATTCATGTGTGGTTCATTTCTCCTATTCAGTACCGTTAGGATTTCTTCAACACAGTTCTCTTGAATATGCGGATGTGTGGCAAGAAGATACAGCGCATAGGTCATCGTTATGCTTGATGTGTCGTATGCACCAAATAAGAGACTCATGTAAACATCCTCCAAAGTTTCTTCTACAATTGCATCATAGCCACAATCATTGTTCTTGTGGCTAGCTTTCATATTTGTTGCAGCATTTATCAAATTGGTCATCAGCTCAGATGATCGCTTCTGTTTAGTAGTTTCCTTCTGGACTTCTTTGCTTTTGCTATTCGCATGGTTATAGTTGATGGTACTACTTCTGCACAGTTGTTCTTCCTCAGCAATCCGAGCACGCGCTTGGGCCACCTGCTCGCGAATAAAAGTTAGAATGTGTTCTTTGTGCCGTTTGTATTCGCGATTAGAGGTGGTCGGGATGTTGTACAAAAAGGAGGTCGGATCCCACGGGCGCCGGAAACGCCGGACCAACTCCGCCAACAAATATTCAAACGAGTGCGCCAGGGGATTTAGCTTCAGTCGCTTGCTGCACTTGAAGTCAAAGCCATCAAGGATGGCCAGCCCAAATACATCAACAGTGGCACATTTCATGAGTGGCAGCACTTTTCGAACTGTAGGTTGAAATAAATCGTTGTCCTTCTCTTGCATTCTTATTTCTTTTAGGAGCGATTCTGCCATGGCGTTTCCAACTTCGTGCATGGTTTCCTGGGATTGCTTTACAGCAGTCTGCGTAAAGCATTTGTGAACGGCGTTTCGAAACGTACGCCATTCTGTCCCTGTCAAAGAAATTAGATTTCGCCGGCCCAAGAGGTTCTTTATGTGTGCATCGACTAGACCGTTGGACTTTCGATACGAGCTGGAGCGAAGGATTTTTTTTACGTCTTTGGACTGTAAGACACTCACAGACGGTATATGGAAAAGCCAAAGACTCGAAACACCCGTTTCGGGATCTGCCGAGTCCATGTAAACCTCCTTTTGACCCGCGAGACACATTTTACCATTGAGCTCGCTAGAGCGTATCATGATAGTGTGACCACATAGCCAGTGTGCACCTTTCGCGGACGGGAAGCCCGGGACGGGATCTCTGGCAGCCTTTCTTTCCATTAGGTATTTTTTCAGCCTCAGTAGCAGAGCAGCGACAACCATCACAGCCCCTGCCATGTGCCCCATGGCAGGTTTTTCATTATCAACGCGAACTGTGACATGAAAAGCAGCGATAGGGAAAAGCGCAAGAGCCCATAGGACTTTGTCGGTGGTGTTCATCTTAAAAACACCGTTGACAAAATTCAACATCGGGGATTGCATCAAAATAGGTTAGGATTTGTTGAAACTATTTCAAGTCCGCAATTTAAGTCCTCGAATTCTGTTTTGTTCTCTTTCAGTAAATTGTTGTTTTCGAGGTCGAAGCGGTATTTGCAACAGTATTCGTTCTTTACTTTCTATTTTGATCTACCCATTCTACCGGACGGTTGGTACCATACGATACTATTCCTGACTATTCCTGAGTGTTTTAAGAGACTTTGGGAAACAGTTGCCTCAGTACAATTAAAAATACAGGTACATTAAGCATTTAGGACGGGCGAACAAGATAGGTGAGACTAAAGTGATTTAAGGAACCACTATTCGTTTCACACTACACCTTTTTATGAATCATAAAAACTATTAAAATATTTATATTTAATGTACTGTAATGAAGTCGAATATCGATCGAAATGTCCTTAAACAGGGCGAGCATACTAATATTTCAGAATGGAATTATGAGCTATACCTCACAACAAGGTAATAGAAGACGGTGAACACATTAATTGAATTCTCACAACACATCTGTTACTGTATCATTGAAGTTCTTGTCCCTTCTTAACGAATGTTTTTTTGTCGAAGTTGACGACGATGGGGCTATTCCATAATTTTTGTGGCTTTTGATGAATACAATTATCAGTCATTCCACACATCATAACACTATTCACCATGATCAACATCGATTGTACCGGCATCGTAGTTTTTACAGAAGAGGCATCTTTGAATCGAACTTAACGTAATTGTGGAAAAGATTTTTATAAGTACTGTGCTCTACTCTAAGATAATTCCTGTCGGCCATTTTGAACTCATTTTTGTGTTCTTTGGCTATCACAAAGAAAAAAATTATTGCTCTCTGACGGTTGTCATAATGGGCCCTATCGCACGCAAGGCAAACACGCATGATTGAAACTTGAAGTTCTCCCTTTTGAATTCCAGCCTTGTTTATTAGTGATGCAACTAAAAATGCCACAGTAGGAAAATATGTACAATTCTAGATATGTGTACATCATGTTGATTTCTACTACCGGCATCAACCATACCGATAGTAGCAGAAAATCAAAATCATGTCAGTTGAGCAGAATTATGAATTACTTCTTGCATTATCAAGACATGGTGAAATCCATAATAAAAATGTTGATTCGATACTATTTCTATGTAGTACAAAGCCTTACTACTAAAGAAAATTAATCCTGTTGACTCCTAGATAACAAATTAGTAAAGAATGAGATCAATGATCTCCTCATTTCGTCACTATTTCGTCACTTTGGACTTTCTCCTCGCTGTCCATCAATTGGAATTATTGTCATGAAATTTCTTGTCACATTGCATAGTACATTCTTCCACAAATATATCCATAATGGCTGAATTGATAAAATTTGTTGACATCCTTCTTGTTGTGGTGCCACCAAGATCTGTCCGTCAACACACTCCTCAGTACAGCAGTACATAGCTGCCGTAGATATGCGCTACTTTGTACAATACTACTAGTACACCGTGTTACACCGTGCTTATTATTCAGCAGCAACAATCATTGTACTGCTTTTGACCATGGTATTACATTTGTTCGGTCGTGCGTCCATATCAGACTGTTTGAAGTGGATGTAGTCCTTCTCAGACACTCCTTGGATGGTATTCCTAAACTTGGTGCGGAACTTTGCGCCTTCTTGTTGTAGTGCTGGCTTAGTAAGATAATCTGATATGATCTCAACTGTTGGGTAGTACTCCACCAAAACCTCATCCTTCCTGACCCTGTCAGTGACAAAGAAGTATCTGATGTTGATGTGTCTGGTTCTCTTGGTGCTTTATGGCGCTTTCATTATCATGGCCTCGTACTACTAGGGTCTCTGGTAGTCTTTGCAACATGTCCTCCAAGTACTCAAACATCATGCTGAGCATCACTTTACCGGGTGTTGAGTAATCAAGTGTCATTCCCACGTAATCATGCACCTTTCCACGTGTTTCCGTTAGCAGGGATTCAACCCTAAACTTATCATTTAGATTTTTGATAATATTTGTGACCACCTTTGGGGGGTCCTTGTGAGATATCTTTCTGAACCAATCAATGCACAGACTTACAATGATAATGTCTGGCGCCACCTGGGGGAACGCTGAATGCAACGCTTAGAGTCCCTCCAAGCATCTAGCAGCCTAGTAGTTTTTTAGATATGATTTGACATAGTCAGGGACCTTTGTTGGGTTCCAGTGCATCATGTTCAGCGGGATAATTTGTCTTCAAATCTTAGCAGTCACTTTCACATGCCATTGATCATATGATCCTTTGCTTGTCCATTATCAGAGGACCATTATTCTTTCAGTAGAAATTCATGTACTGCAGAAATTACATCATTCTTGCTCCCTTACAGCAGACAAAACAGTTTCCATTATGTTTCAGACACTAATAGTAGTGCCATGGAAAGGTTTCTTCATTTTTCCACCAAGGGGAGGACACATCTACTAGTATCATTACAATGAACACATCTACCATCATATCAATAACAATACCAGTGCTTGGGACAATAAGTAGAAACACAAGCATCTTCAAAAAAGAAGTATGCATCAAATTAGACATCATGCTAGCTTGGTTTTGCTGCTATAGTAAGCTATTATGATGCTTTAAATGGATTTTAATTTTGCATCATAAACAACATTGATAACAAACAACAACACATTAAGTTTTATACTGGATTTGACATGGATATATTCCTCAAGGCTCTTACTACTAGTTCGCAAGGTCTACATTTGGCAATCATCAATTAAATAAAAATGCTGGAATTTCTTGTTTCTAGTCCTGTGTCTCGTCAAAAATTGCAGAACGAGAGCAGCTGTTATTATGTATGTACTAGGAAGCATAATAGGAGTCAAATCACAATAGGATTTTTGTTGTTGTGTACAAACCGAGGTGATCGCAATCATTCGCGGCGAATGATTCAGTAGTTTACTGGGCAAAGCCAAAGTTCTTTGATTGACAATCCCCAGCATGGCGTTACCCTGGATAGTCTGAGCCGCCCTCTTGGAATCAAATCCACTCGAATGCTCTTGGTTTGTTCCCATTTGCCCTTGGTATATTGAACTTCCATTTCTTGCCCTTGTGGTAGATGGACAATTTCGTATCCATCCGTGTATGAGTGATTTGGCGGCACGGGTGGATTCTCGATCTGAACTATCAGAGGCTTCTGATCACGGTGGACATTCACAACCTTGGCGGACATTGCATAAGTACCAGCTGCTACAATAGAATGAGGTAATATGTACTCGACTTGTCCGTCGTGTTCCAAGTGAAGCTGATTTCCACCTAAAAAGCTTTTTGTGACCATCACATTTTTGGGTGGCCTTTTTGGATCAACAAAAGAAGTAGCGGGAATTATAATGGTACCATCGGGTTGGATTAGGTGATCATTTCCTTTCAGCGAGCGATCTGGGTTGGTGTCTTTGTTGGAAGAGTCATAACTACTCTTCTGTTCTTTTATCGTTTTCTGATGCTGAATTTTGGAGGCACGTGGAAAGCCAAACTCGTTGCAAACACTACCATTCAATTCAAATTTATCACCATTCGTATCGCCAGTGCCAAGGCTTTTCACAGACGTCGAGCAGAAGGAACGCGACATCATCTTTCGTTGAGATAAGGCCAGAGAACGCCAAACCTTTGCAGATACAAAATCTTCTTCGACGGTTTCTCCCAAACTTTCGGCAAGGCATTCCAGCAAGATAACCTTTTCGTAGTAGATGCGTGGACGATCGGCCGACGTCCTCGCTTGTGTCTCTTCGAGGAAATCGGGGCCACGGCGTGTATTCGCACCGTATCGGTTGTCATCCCACCAGGAATATTGCCACGGGGCACCAAGGCAGACCGTCCAGCCTCCGATGCTGCGATCATTTGTCCAACGAGTCATTGCTGCATGTCCCGGCTGTCGCACTCCCCAGGTCGGAATGCCCCACGCCTTGCTAATAAATCTACCGAACCATGCACGGGCGCCGCATTCTCCACCCGCGCTCAGCAATGCTGGATAGTCGCGAAACTCGTGATCTGGATGCCGGTATCCAACATCAGATCTGACGGACATGACATAGCGCCACCGTTGGTCTTCCATAAAGATTTGATCGGGGCGATAATTCCTCAAGAATGATCTTCCCCAGGTCAGATCATCGTTGCTGGCATTCGCATCCACAACTTTTCTCAATTCCCAAACAGAGAGCGTGAAAAATGCGTCGTCCAGCGTATCGATAAATGTGATCTTGCAGCTTTCGAGATCATTTTTGTCTCCATTCTTGTTGTCGGCAAACTTTGCGAAGTAACGGAAGCGCTCTACGGGGTCCACAAATTCGTTTTCTTGCTGGAAAATAGGGATGGGCGTCGAAAGCTCGAGGGCAACTGCTAGAGCTAAGCGTTGCTTAAGAGAAAATGGTTCTGTTGAGGTCATCGATGCTGTGCCACCATCAACACCGTTTTCATTTTGCAATTTATCATAAATGTTCAAAGCTGGTCCGTAATTGCCGTTCGAGGGCCCGCCCGACGCGAGGAAAAGCTCCATAAGTGTCGTGGAATTGTTTTCTCGGCCTAGAAATTGGTCCAACAATTTTGGATTGGCACCGGGGGATTCGGCACACCAGGTTGCCAGCTTTTTCGGCGTCGCTTGTATCAACACAGTGCACTCCAGCAAATCGTGTTCAATCTGCGAAAGGCCACCATCCAACAAACCACTTGCCCTTACAAGGGCAGAACCAGTGTTGGTCCCCGCCTCTTCCAGACGATCGATAACGGCTTGTGCGTCTTTCACAGCTTTTGCAGATGGATCTACCACAGAAGCATCCTTCCAGCTATCGTCGTCGGGGTGCTTGATTTGTTCGTTCTGGAGGGCCGTTACTATGGTCTTCGAAGTCTCCAGTGTCTGCTTCGCTGCTTCCAACGATAGAATGACGGAAGAAAAGATGGAATCTGAGTCGAGCTCTTCCTTGCTTGGTATAACCTGCTGGATTTTGCTTCGAAGACTTGCGATTCGATCCTCAAAGTAGGCTTCGGAATATTTCTCTGGTTTCGGTACGAATTGAGGGAGATAAACAGCGGCCATCTGTGGTTCATCGGATGAAGTATCCACCATTTTCAAAGAAGCGAAGATATTCTTCGATTGGAAAGTTTCAGACGCATTTATGGTTGTTTCTGCCAGAGTTTTAGCAGGTGCTGAATCTTTTTGTTGTGTACGAAAGAACATGAATCGACTGTATGCTTGATAGACTTCGGTATCGAAATAAAATGTCAATTTCGTTCGACTCTTCCGCCATTCTTCAGTAGAAAAAACGAGATAACAAAGGCCGAACATCAACCATCGAAGTCGACAGGGTTCGCAACATTCTTTCTGCGAATGTATCCATTCCAAGTGTCATACGTAGTCGAGCGAGTCGTTTTATCATTCTTGGTCGTGCCGACTTGTCTTCACTTTTGACCTTGAAACTCGAAAAGGAATCGTCGTACGGTACGTCGTACTAGCTGTAAGAAGAAGGTACCGGTACGTACGCTTCGTACGTTACCTCCGGCCTCGTACTCGTGCTCGTAAACTGAAGATCCAAATTCAAATTTTTGAAATTTGATTTTGAACTGCCAACAGAAAATAACAAGGCATCAATCAACTTAGAAAGATGCGAAAGCTTCGAACCCCGAAGTGAATTCCCGGAAGTCGCAAAAGAATGGTGGAGGGCCCGGGGGCAACCCGAAATGGTTGCAAAGTGCAGCCGGTTGTTGGATTAGTGCTTCGGGATTTCACAATCCAAAAACCTTGCGGCAAGAGTGATGAGGACAAGAAAAAAGTCGAACTGGAAGGTAGGCGTCTAGAATCTGCGTTTTCTGTGGGGAAGGAAGTCTTCCTTCTTCTTGGGCCAGTGTGTTTTAATGAAAAAAACGGAAACACAGTAGAGGAACAAGAACAACGACGATCGGAGTTCGATACAAAACCAATCGCAATCCGGCTTCACTTCGGAATGAATGGTGTCCTCACCGTGCGAAAGCTTGGCGGACCTTCCAGATTGTCCCCCTGGAGGCGAAACGACAAGAGCCTTCCAAAATGTACGATCAAGTTTTCTAAAAGCGATTCGGTCGATGGCAAGAAATCCAATCGTTCCATTTCCGATACGAATGAAACGGTCGTTATCGAAACGGTGTCGTCTACATGTACAGTCGTCTCTTCGGTTGTGGCACGGTCTAAATTAAATCGGCTGCAAAGGAAAGATGTGTGCGCGGATGCCACCACCTTCGAGCCAGAATTGGTACTTGAAGATATATTCGAAAAGAGGTCGACGGCTATGGTTTGCGATGCCATCTTGGATCAGGAACGATTTCCTGGCGTTGGGAATATTATCAAGATCGAGGGTCTTCACAAAGCTGGTGTTCATCCCAGGAGACTAGTCGAAACACTGTCACGAGAGGAACTGAAACGGACTATTTTGGAATGCCGTGCCTATGCCATGGGATGGCTTTCCACCGGGAGGGCGCCTGCAAAGCAGGTGTACAATCGAACGAAATGTGGATCGTGCAACGTGGGGCGTGTGAGGATGGTGAAAATGGGCAAAGACCTGAGTCGTGTCACATTTTGGTGCGAGAAATGTCAGCCTTTTGCTGGCATGGATGTAGCCAAACCGAGGACTCGTGTTTTACAAAACAAAACCTCAATTAATGTAACGGTTCCAGAAGTGCACGCGCCGCCAGTCCTTACAAGCTGCTGCCCACAGCATGGATCCAAAACAGTTGTTTTGCGTCGCGTGAGAAAGGCCGCGTCTCCGAATATCAATCGATTGTTTCGAACGTGCAAAGTCCAAGGGTGTCCGTATTTCTCCTGGGCCGATTCTCACCTCCCATTGTGCGGCTGTCATATCAAAACCATACTCCGTGTCAGCAAGACGGAACGAACGGGGGGTCGTTGGTTCCTTTCTTGTGCAGCTGCCAGCTCAAGATCTCACAAAAGTCAAAAATCCAATGGCTGTGCATTCTTTCAGTGGGTCACTCCTGGCCAGATGGCACCGTTGCAAGGCTTGTCCCCCTTAAGTTGATATCACCAAATTAATTTCAAGAGCGACTCCATGTTCTTCTCCGCAACGATAAGGCAGGAGCTTCGGAGACGCCTTTATTTTTCTCCACCTGATTCAGATACGAAAAGGAAAGAGAATTCAACCATCAGAGAAAACCAAAAATGCAGAAAATGGTAGTCTCCAGAAACTCTCTAAGATCACGTGAAGAGTTCTTTCCTTTTTCACTTCCTCAGCAGAGCCCAGTCAGGAAAGAAGGAGGAATATCGAAAAAGAAGTAGAACACTTTGTACTTTTCAGAGTGCTCCAAAACCGAATACAATTTGTGATTATTGGAAGAGTTTTAATTTTTCAATAAATCTGAAATCCTGAAGGAACGTACCACCGATGATTGATCTAAGCGTTCGTACGGTTCGTATCGAACGTACGTACTCGTACCAAATAGGGGTGTGAGGTGTGAGACATAATTTTTCTTTCATACTATTCGTACGGTACGAAATCAGACTTACAGTAATATGTACTGGATGAAGTAGTAAAAAATACTACTCGTACCGTATCCTGGCTGTTTCCTTATGTTGCGTACCCCTGGACTACGGTAGGTTCCAAATTTAGCCTAAACTTGCGTACGATTCGAAAACATTTCTTGAGCTCACCAACTTCGACCATTCAAAACATAATGATGAATACTGTTCCCTATCCATCCCATCATTTATCATCACAGCAACTGCTCAACGCTTGTTCATGGGAGTTAAGTATCAATTAAATACCAGTGCAAAAATAGAGATAGAGAAACAGAACGCACTAAATCGACAGATAGGCACTTTAATGATGGAGGATGAGTCATCATCCCATAGAGAAGGCAGAGCATCACCAGTACCACCATTTTCCGACGTACAACAAGCACATAATTGCCGGAACCAAATCAGAGGACGACGACGAAGAACAAGAACGATACCGTTCCATCTGAACTTTGGTTCTAGTGGTTATTTCAACCAGTACCGAAGGTGTTGGGGCTTGAGTCCAAAATTATTACTCCGGACGTCTTTCTTGATTACGATTTTCTCATTGATCGACTTCGTTCAATATCTGCAGAAGAATGCAGAAACGACGCGTTTCCCAGAACTTCCATCAACTACAATGGTTCTATCATTTTCGATCGTAGCAACAACCCAAAGGCAAGTGAGACCATCCGCCTTTAGTTTCTTTCAGAGGATGGGAACACAACCAACAATCACAAGTCGATCTCATCTCAATAATATCGGCTCTTTCCGGTTTCACTCCGACCTTGACACGTTTTTTGAAACGGGTGGTGGTATGGATCGATTGGTGGAGGAGCTTTCGGTAAGACAAGAGCAGAATCAAGAGCAGAAAAAGATGCGTTCTTCATCCGACAACACCAAAACCGTGAAAATAAAAAGCGAGAAAAGCAATTGGAGAGATGCACTCGACCTTTCTGTAGAAGAACAACGCGACAAACAAGACAAGGTTCGTCAGCACCAAATTTCCTCCCCTTCCCCCGTGGAAATACGAACCATCCGAGGTCGCACTGTACACGTGAAGCACGACGATCAACTGCGATTGGCAGGATCAGGAATCTCCGGAAACAAGGCACGAAAGATGTGGACCCTGAACGAAATACCCGCTGAAGAATTTCCTTCCTGCCTTGTCAGCTATGGTGGACCCCAAAGCAACTCGATGCTGGCCTTGGCAGCCATTGCCAATTCTAAGAATCGAGAACTTGTATTGCAATCCAAATCAGCTATAGAACTGTCGAGTGATAAAGACAACGAAGATTCTACATCGAAAAATGAGACGGGGCTCCCAATTCGGTTTGTCTATTATACCAAAAAACTTCCACGATTCTTGCGCAAACAACCTAACGGCAATTTATTTCGTGCACTCTCATTGGGAATGGAACTCAGAGAGGTCTCTCATGGAGAGTACAAAAGTCTTTTTGAGCACCGCTCTGACGAATTCGAAGGAGAAGGGCGGCCCCCATTGGGATTAGAAGCCCCTGGGCCCGACTCCTTGTGGGTCCCTCAGGGAGGTGCCTTTGCACCAGCGCAAGTGGGATCACATAGACTTGCCCAAGAAATTTATACCTATTGGTTAGAAAACGGAAACGACCGTCCGCTTACGGTATGCGTGCCCGGAGGAACTTGCACTACTGCTGTGTTGTTGCACCTCGGACTGAAGCAGCTCCTGCAGCTGCGCATCGACGGAGGAGACGATGATGGCCTGAGAGAAGATGATTATGACGGTTTTTCTAATGCAGCAATCTGGCCGAAAAAAACCGCTATGGACATCGAAGTAGTGGTCGTCCCGTGTGTTGGTGATGCGGCATACGCGGGTAGGCAAATGAGATCTCTCTCAGCCCGAATCGGAGCCTCGCCAAACGATATTCCCACAATATTACAGCCCGAACCTGATGAAGCTATGAGCGAAAGACATGGTGCGAGCGGCACGAATTCACTACGCCAAAAATATTTCCGATTTGGAAAGCCCGACAGGGATATTTTGGAAACCTTCCAAGAACTCCAAGACGACTTCAACCTTGTGGTTGACTTGATTTACGGAGCTCCATCATTTGCAATCATGTGGCGACACTGGGGACGGAAAGGACAAAATTCTTTGAGTCCCGACTTATCGTTCGACCCTAACCAACCACTAGTGGGAAGAGAAATTATGTACGTTCATAGCGGTGGATTGGAAGGCATCAACAGCCAGTTGCTCCGATATAGATACGACGGTTTAGTAGAAATTAAGGATGTTCAGCTTCCAGGACGCAAAAATAGGAGCAAACACAAAAAATAAGTTGTTGCCAGATCGGAAAGTGCGTGCTCAGGGATTTGTATATCAATCGGTTCAAAAAACGCTAAGATAGAAAATAATACACACCGAATGTTTCCCTTTTCTTCAAGATTTCTGCCGAATGAAGATGAAGTAAAAATTAATAACAGCGCTAGTATTATCAATGAACACACAAACCAAGTCAATTCTTTCCTCCAATTGAAACTTTTGAACTCAAATTGCATGCTCTGGAGGCCAACGAAAGAAATTACTTTTCTTCAGCAACATGATCGCTGTGGAGAAGATTTATGAATGATGTAAGTGGATCACATGCAATATTAAATTTTAACAGCTCTAGAAACGTTCGATAGAGTTGGAAAAAAGCCAATGCGACCAAATTATAAGAATAGGGCTGAAAGGGACTTGCGGGTTTTATTCTTCGTCGCTATAAATACTCTCGCAATTAAAACTTCTTATTCTGAAACATATTTCCGAGAGCGCAAATTCTGGTGGTGCTAGTGTCGACACTCGAATCTACCAATCGTCGTCCGAGTAATTGTCCTCGCTCATTGGGTGATCCCAGTGCTCGTCCTCTGTCTCGTCGCTCCATTCTTCGCTCTGATCGTCATCGTACCGGGAGCCCGGGGATGGGGCGTCCCAGGCCGATTCTCGTTGCGCTTGGGCTTTCGCTCTCGCGGCTGCCATTTGTGCCGCTTTCAGAGCTCGTTCTCGGGCTTCTCGCATGACTTCGAGTGCATCCAAGTACACTTCTGCCATGTCCACCAGCTGATCGTCGTATCCTTCTTCGCCATGCAGGGCAGCGATGATATCTTCTTCCAACACATCATTCATTGTCATGTCCATGGTCAGTTTCATTCTGGGATAATTTTGTCTCGATTCTTGAAGGACGGCAGCTAATGCCTCGGCTGCCTTCGTATCAAATGAACAGTGTCTCAGCGCCAATTCGACGTGGACAACGGATCCCTTCTCTGATGTTTCGGATGAATCATCATTGTTCTCAACAAAAGCTAAGGCGAGAGCAAGGGCGCCACACTTCTTGATTGAATCGTCCTCCTCCTGGTTCATTCGTTCATCCTCTTCGTCATCACTCTCAAGGGTATCCATCCCATAACCTTCGCCATTGCTGAGACTATTGATGCTACTCAATCCCTTTTGGAAGGACTTTCCAATAATGTTCATGTAGGCTTTTGTAGTGTCTGTGGCTTTGCTTTTTAATGCACTAGCGGAGTATTTACCTCCGGATTTTTTCTTTTTGCTTAGAACCCCCAGTGGATTCCCACTCAAATCAATCAACCGCCGCTGTTCCCCTTCAGTCGAGTGCTCTTGCGAGCCAATCGTTCTCAGAGCAATTGCAAAGGATGCAGCACCATCCGCACGGACATTGCAGCTCCGGAGAATTAGATTTGATATTCCATCTCCCTGAAAGGCACGAGCAAGTTCCTTGGCTCCCCGGTCACCAAGGTCCTTGTTGTAACTCAAATCGAGTGTTTGGATACAACCAACTGAGACATCGCAGCTTTTATCACTGCTATCGCCTTCCGCGCCAAGGACTCGTGCCAGAGCTGCTGCTCCATCATCGGATATCTGATTGTTGCTAAGATCTAAGTGCTTTATGCAAAGAGGATTGTTTTTTAGGGCGATTGCCAATGCTTCTGCGCCGCCATCTCCGATACCACAACCGGACAAATCCAAGCGTTCGAAAATTGTCATTGCCGCTGTTGCTCCGGCCGAGGTACTTGGCGATTCGCCTTCGGCATTGGTTTCCTCGGATTGATTTTCTAAATCATTTGCTGTGTGATCGGTAGAAACTCGCTGATCTTCATCCTCCTCTTTTCCGTCTCCTTCTTCGAGGTTGTTTGCCGGGCGCTCTTTGGACCGTTTTTTCTTCCTCCTTCTCTTTTTCTTTCCTTTGCTGGCGTTTTCTGTGCTCCCGTGCTGCTGGGTAGCAATCGTTCGAATCGCGGCTGCCAGTGCAGCAACACCAACGTCGCCAATGCCCCCGTTCCGAGCCAAATCCAACGACAACGGTATCGGACGATCCATAGCTTGTCCGTCTTCGCCGTTAGCTTGGTACCGCTCAACCATTCCCTTTGCCATGTCGCGGCAGGCCGATGGACCCAACCCGCACACATCCAATCGAATTGTGCGGGGACAGTGCTTTGGACTCGATAGCAGCTTTCGCAAGGCCTTGTTCATGAGGCGAACGCCACTCGCGGCTCCTCTTCTCCGCGGTCCGCCGTCGGTGCGATCGGAGCCCAGGTTGTTCCAGCCTAGATCGAGGGTCTGTATCGTAACAAAAGCAGGCCTGGTTACGGTGGCAATTTTGTGTTCCATTGATTGCTCCGCTGTTTCTTCCATCGTGGTAATATTCTCATCACTAGCCAAAGCGATGGTGGTTTCGGAATCTGTATCCTTCTGCGACGCTAAGAGACTGCCAGGGGCAGCGGTAGCATTTTTGTCGTTCCCGTCGAGTGTTTTGTTTTCTTCTGTTAGCTGCTCGTCGCTTTCTGCGATTATTTCGTTTGTTGGGCCATTATTCGATACAAAATCTAGCACTACTGTCGCTTCCTTTGGGGACCATTGATTTCGACGGGTAGTCAACCGAACCACGGTCGGAGGAGCTTCCGTATTCCCTCGCAACGACGACGGGGATTCTTCTTCCCCTCGTTTCAACGACGATAAAATTTCCGAAAGATTCTTGCCGATCAGCGATGCCGTGAGATCAATGTCGACTACTGCGGATTCATCATTTTCTTCTTTGGTTGGCGGGTGTTCTTGCTCCTTTTGTAATTCCAGCGTCCCTCGAATGACCTCTGCGAGATCACCGGCCTTGGATCGGTGGAGGTACGAAAGGTCGAGGCGATGGACAGTTTCGGCCGCGATGTTCTGCAACGTTGAAGAGACAGGGGCAGCAGCAGAAACGGCCAATGTCTCTGCTGTCATTGAGACGATCAACGATGCTACCAGCAATAACGGGAGCAAGGGCCCCAAGGAAAGGCGTCGGGGAATTGCTGTCGTCGTCCTCATAATATACCGTTCGCGTGTTTCGTTCTTTCTATCTATCTTTCGGTCTTTCTTCCCTCCAACAGCTGTCGTCCCAAAGGCAACACCCACAGATACTACTCCAGTCCCGATATCGTACGTGCMTGTACGGATGGATCTTATTGACGATGTCAAGCACGCAGGATGGCTTGCTTTTAGCTCTGTTTTGAAGTTTTCAACTGCAAAAGCTCGCCGATACGACCGACACATTTAGCTTAGCTAACAGAGTTGTCCTTACTATTACGTATACTATTACGTACTATGAGTACGAGTACACGTGTTGAACGTCAACTCGGGAATCAATCATCATCGTTGCCTCCAATCTTCACAAGCACGGACCTCGATTCAATCCTTCCTTCCACGTGGAAGAGGGATACTTTGATTCCATGATTACGTACTGACTACGAAGTACAAGTACATACTGTACTGTTATTACCGTACTGCTCTTTTTCTGCTTGTAATTTCTATTAGAACATCACCTGCAGCAATACTAAACTAGTACTACTACTAGTAGTAGAATAGTAGTAGTATTGATACTAATATTGTCTTGAAAATAAAAAAACCTCCAATAAATAGTCAACAAAGGCAATAACAAGAAGAATTCTAGCAGTACTACTTCCTGCAGAAACCAGTGGGTGCTGGTTTTCAACAAGAAGGGGAGGTTCTTGGTACTAGTAACAAGAAGAAATACTAATGATACTAGGTTGGTAGGCAAAACTGTGAAAGTGGAGGCTGCGCAACACGTGTAGGAATACTACTTTCTTGTCCAAATTAAAACCTATTCACAATAGATACATTCTGTGAAAGAAAATTTCTAGGTTTGTCATGAATGAAAGACAAAAAGAATGTCATTCAACAAGCATCAACAGAAGGTGGCCACAGGTTCTTCATAGAGAGGCTCCTTTGGTTGCACTTGAGAATGGAAGAAGGGACCAAAATCTCGACACAAACTGAGCTGTTTTTGCTAGTAGTATGAATGCTTCTGGTACTATTTGCACACCGTTGTAAAGAGCGGGAGTCAACAATTGGTGCATTTGTTTGGATTCGACAGCACAGCGAATTGGATCCAGATCTGCGTAGTCCCACCATGTTTGTCCCGCTGTGGTATTTCGTGCTCTACACTGCACTGCACTGCACTCCGTTACATTCCTCCGTCGCCCACCTGCTGTCCCTGCTGCTGCTTCTCGGTGGCACGCCGCAGGACCGCCCCGATCTCCGTGCCCTCCAGGTGCGTGTTGGTCATTCGCTGGTTCTTGCGCTCGTAGTAGCGGCGCTTTTTTGGTTTACCGTCGTTGTCCACGTTGGCCCTCTTTTGCAGCCGCGCCCGCCGCAGTTCCTCGCCGGGTTCCAGGAGCTTGTGCTCGACCAGGGCGGCCTTGAGGGCGGCTTCCGTGCTCGGCACCTTGCTCCGCGTGCCCAGGTACAACTCACGGACGTCCTTGGTGCACCCGTGCCGCTTGGGGTGGGAATAGAGTGACAGGTACGGGTCTAGCGCGGCCTCCCTGAGCTTGGCAATGGCCTCCTGCTGCGCCTTTCTCGCGCTTGCGCTGGATGCGGCGCCGAGACTGCTTCCCACCTGGGGCCGGCGACGGGACCCAGCGGCGTGGCTCGTTCCCAGCGTGGAGGCCAGCGCCACGGGATTAGAGGAGTGGGCGTTCGTGCCCAGAAGCTGCGAGGCCGCTCCCCCGGCGCGGCCACCGTGGCTCAGCTTGAGGAGTTTTTCGCGGGCCTCCTTGGCCTTTTGGACGTTCTCGATTGCCGAGGGCGGGAGGGGGGCATCGATCGGGAGCTCCCGGCTGTCGAAGGTCCGAACGAAACCGTCCAGTCGGTTGTTTTTGGAGAGAGCAATGTCCTTGCGTGCAACCACCGAGAGGGGCGCTTTCGCTCGCACCGGTTGGTTTTTGTGCCCCTTGACGTCGCTGGAGACACGGAACCATGTTCCACCGATTTGGACGGCTTCTCCCCTTCGAATCTGTGTCGTGGGGTTGGAATCCATCTCGATAGTATAGATCGGCTTGGAAGCAGCTGCTGGCGTTATATGTGTTCCCGACTCCACCTCCGATGGAATTTTGTCAGCCGCGACCGAAGGTGTTTCTCCGGCTGCTTCCGAGGCGGCGGCACCGTTCGGGGCTACGGGTTCGGCTTTCACTGCGCCGTCGGCACCGGTATTTGCCACCGGATCGAGCTGTGGTTTCTGTTCCAACGGAAGGGCAACGATCCCATCCAACTCTACCAAAAAGGGTTCGCCCCTCGGAAACAAGACCTTATCCTTGCGCTCTGGGTTGAAGAGCGCCAGGACGTCTCCGGCGCAGACGAGTGCATCCAAATCGCTCTGCACCGTGTCATAGGAATCCTCGAGCTCCTTCATTAGGACACCGTTCTTGCACCTATTGATCTGCGCCAGCAGCGTCTTTCGGTCTCTCACGTGGTTGTAGGTCGCTTGGTAGGAGTACGTGTCGATCGTAAGGGAAGGGTTTTCCGGGTCGGGGACCGTCTCGACCTTGATCTTGTAGTGATTCCTTAGCTTCTCTGCGAGTTCCGTGTCCTCCTCCAGATCGATGCCCGTCCGCTGGTAAATGACTGTGGGAGGCATCCATCCCGCGCTCCGATGGGCCTTGAGGAAATTCAAAATGTCGTATTGTTTTTCGGTGTCGGACTTATTGGCGGCGGCGGCAGCGAGAGCCTCCGTGTCGATGTCGTCGATACCACCGCTGTTGCTGGCCCGGTCCTCGTCATCGATGTTGCCGCTGGAGGAAGGGTGGCGGGGATTCCTGTTCGAGTGAACCTCGTCGAGGACGTGTTCGCTCCGTAGAAAGTCGAGCCCATAAACGTTTGCCATGGTGGTGGAATAGGGCGGGAGGGGGTGATAGGATGAACCGTAACAGAATTTGTGTGATGTCTATTGAATATTGATGCGTGTCTTTTCTTTGGGGTTGTGCTGTGTTGTGTTATGGTGTGTTGTATTCTGTTGTGCTGTGTTGATGAGGTATGCGAAGTATTGAAGCATTCGCTATTTCCTACTATTTGATCGTGTTGTAATTCATTGCAAGATGGCAGCGGGATGCGATCTCCGGTTTGTGTCTCGAGAAAGAATAGTAGAGGATCCAAATAATAATCAGTAAATTTTGTTATGTGATCGGACGTCGGTGTTGTTTTGACGCTCGTTTGCTCATTGTGTTCAGTACGTAATTGTACGAGTACAGGCAGTACGATCTCGAACTCGTACTCCGAGCTCTTCATAATTACACGTACTCTTACTCGTAAAAACCGCACGTACTCTTAGAGTACTAGTAGTACTAGCTAGTGAATACCGGTAAGGTCACTTCTGCAGATCGCAATCTTGTACTGGTATGTACGAAAGGTACGAGTAGTGGATTTCACTTTTCATTTCGAGTATCCCGTAGGGATACCCCGGCGCCGCCTCGGTTGTACGTCACTCCGGATGCATGGACTCTGTGCTCACATTCATACGCTTGTATACTACGCTAGCTATGGTACATACATAGGTGGCGGATAACAAAGCTACTAGGTGAATGTGATACGAAAAGGGGGACTGAGTGTGTGTGAATCCCKGGACTGACCCATATGGGGTTCAGGTGGGGGAAACACTCAGGCAGATATGAAGTGCACAGAGGTACCGTCGCGGGTGGGATGGTGGGAATTTTT